GTTGGTCTCTCCTCCCAATTAATAAGCGATAGGATCAGAGGAAACAGCCTCAGGTTGCGCCAGGGGAGGTTTAGATTGGATATTGGGAAAAATTTCTTCACTGAAAGGGTTGTCAGGCATTGGAACAGGCTGCCCAGGGAGGTGGCAGAGTCACCATCCCTGGAGGTATTTAAAGAGACTTGTAGATACCGTGCTTGGGGACATGGTTTTGTAGTGGACTTGGCAGTGCTAGGTTAGCAGCTGCAGTTGATGATCTTAAAGGTCTTTTCCCACCTAAACTATTCTATTATTCTGTGATTCTGTAAGTGAAAGAATGGTGATACATCATGGGGAGCAGGATGACTAAGAAGCTGTTACTGAATTATCTTTCCCCCCATCCCGAGTCGGAAACCAATTGTTCATTCTCCAAAAAACACCACGATCTGCATTTTGTGTGTAAAAGGGAAAATTAGCAATACTTAGTGTGGCTGTTTGGGAAAGGGTTTTATATATATGCGATTTTGTGAAAAACTTCAAGGGTCACATTGCATGAGCTCTGAACAGATGCCATAGCTGCTACAACTAGTGCTGCTCACACTGCTGCATGTGCAACGTTCTACCAAAAATGAGGTGTTGCATGGGGGTAATTCAGGAGGACAACAATAACTCATTCATACAAATGAGGTAAGCCCACCATCTTAGCAGAGGGGAATATCAAACTTGAAAATTCACTGCAGAAAGCTTTATTGCAAAGCAAAATGAAAGATTACTTCCTCTAAAATGAAAACAAAACACAAACCCCAGGATATTTCAAATGATAGATGCTGAGCTCTTGTGCACCATGCCTTGAACACTATGCATAATTCTCATCCCTCATCTCCAACTGGAGACACTAGAATTTGAAAGATAGGGGAAAGGCTAAGAAGACTAACTGTTGGACTTCTTTTTTTTAATCATTAAATGTACCTAAGTTTAAGGTCTCTAAATTACTGATCTACTTTGCCTTGTCATTTTAAAAAAGTGACACAAATATATGTTAATTACTTTTAGGGATATAAAAAGGACCAGGAATTTTCATCCTACCTAGAAACTAACATTATTCAGCCAGTTTAGGTTTCCTTGCATGCTGTTCATATAGGTGTTTTGAAGATTAAAGATGACCTCTGAAGTGACATATCAATATAATAATATTAAAAAAATTTCTTAATACATTATTATGATGATCAAAACTAATTTCTTTATATGTGTTCTGAATGCAAACTGAAACAAAAAAGCTGTACCTGGTGTCCAGCCATTATTTGCTTCAACACATTTTCATAACATACTTCATCCATATGATTCAGCTGCTGCACCTGAAAAACAAACATCATATTTCATATTAAAAGCATTTTTATTTTTATATATTTTCTACTACACATCAAGTAATTTACAGAAATCCATTAAAAAATGTGATCATGCGATTAAGTTTATAATATACTGAGTCCCATTCCTAACAATATTTTGTTATTAACAATATTAATATTCTTAAATTCACAAATAGAACATGAAAATAAATAGATAAAACATAAGTAAGGGCAGTGGATATAAAATTTATTATCTGACTTTTGGTTTTTTCTTTAATGACAGAAGAGATGTAACCCAACTCTATAATTTATCTGTTTCATATTAAGGAATCTTCCTTGTACAGGATATCGAAGTATCGACTTAATACAGCATCTTAGCTAAAATTAATTCTTTCCATTTGGTACTATAAAAATATTTTACATTGCAGAAATACCTATCCAGGAAATTACTAATTGTCAGATTTTTTTTTCCATAGAAAACAGAAATTTATTCATAGTTGGGCCATGCACAGGGAACAGTGGGAGTACCATGTACAGAGTTTCCAGTTATGGATAGTTAAAATGTTTCAGGAAAGTTCCAAAATAAAGAATTCAGTTAAAATAAAAAGTATTCTTCAAGCTAATCTAAGGATTTTTTAAATCAATTTCTCTAATGTATCACAATATAATTAGGAAGTATCTGCTTGAATACACCTCAGTATTAAGATTGTGACAAATAAAAATAAATAAACGAAGTTCACAATCAGAACAATCATTCCATTCTTCATTTTTGCATGCACGGGTGGAAAGAAGTTGTTTTATATGTAAATATTTTTGACACAAAGAAATGTTTTACAAGGACAAAGCATGTAAGAATTCAAAAACGGAAATTTAGTACTTGAAGTTATCTAGAACAGCTGAAAGTTGAAAACCACAGCTTTAAAGGGCAGAAGAGAACATTCATATTTGGCATCATACAAGCATAGAAATGAAAAGATGAGACGTGTGCAAGAAACAAGTAGCCTGTACAATTATTCTGAAAAGAGAGGTCAGGATTTTTTTTTTCAAATAATTATTAACTAATCATTAAGGAGAAACATATATAGGCAGTGCATAAATACAGATGTGGACATATAGATATACATACATAAAAACAGAACTTCATTTATTTTTTGCATTTACACCTAAAGAGGAAAACATAAACATGCATAAAGAAAAATATCTGACATTATCAGACCTCTGACTGAAGAAACCAAACTTTAGTCTTGGTCCCATATGCTCTAAGAGTTTCACCGCACAGTTTTAAGAGCTTTCCTGGCTAACTTCTTTACATAATACACACACCATGCTGTCCTTGCCTTTGAAAGCTTGCCTATGGTTTGCATGTGATTTGGCAAATCACTAATCATTTCCCCATTTTTGGATGAAGATGTCAGAAAGCTGTGGCAAAGCATATACCTAAATAAACTAACAGCTTTCTGTCTCCTTGCAACTCAGTATGGATATAGACATAGCATTGCTGATGTTCTGCAAGAACTGCTTTTGATTCTGGGGATTCTTACATTGCTTTCCTCCTCTCATAGAGCAGAAGGATGTTCATATTGGCAATAACTTGGCAGCTTTAGTATTAGTGTTATCCTGAATAGAATCCTTCCTCAAAGAGGCTTAATATTTTTACTCTTCATTTCCTATAAGGTGTATTATCTTGATTGCAAAATGTATTTTACTCTCTAAAATATGCAATGATATTCTGAAAATGAAAAAGACAAATCCTGGCTGTGGTATTACCAAAACAGTTGTTTTTGTCTGCCAGGTACTCACATTAGGGGGTGGTAGTTACTCTGAAATATTTCCTCATGTCCTCTTCCTTTTTTTAAGTTTTTTTTTTTAATAATTTCAAACTTTATAGGATAATTTGAATATTTCTTTGATTTTTAAATCACAAATGCATTCTAAAGTGTGTATGAAGGAATGGAGCCTTTCCTTTCTCTTACCATACAGTGGTAAAGTAAATACTAAAATCAAGTATCAGGAAAGATTAACGAAAAGCAACAGCAAAAATTAGTGAAGGTACTTGAAACAATTAATGAAGGTTAAATTATGCAAATAATGGTAAGCACCATATGGTAAACTATTCTTGTGTGTATAGACTTGAAATGGCTCCCTACAGTTGTAAAATAAGTTTCTTTCTTGCACTGCAGACGGAATGAACCAACTAAATAACCTAGTAAGAAAGGCAATGACCATTTTTACAAAAAAGAAAAAAATGCTATGAAATTAACTTTTGATTGACATTGTTTTGGTTTCTGTTAAATTAGATCACAGAAGAATAAGACCTTCTAAAAGTTGAGCTATATAAGCTTTAATTATCAGCTAGTGAGATACATCGGAAAACTTATGGAAAAGTGTTTGTATTAATTCCTGTATTAAAAGAAAGAAATATAATTTACAAGTCAAGTGGCACTGCATTTATGATTTTTAATAAGAATATTATACCTGACCACAGCCTTAATGCTTCCCAAAATGAGCAAGAGCAAAAAATGTGAAGAAGCTTATTTAGGGACTACTTTAATGTGTTTTCTATGAGATGTGAACATATGATACTTAATGGCTTAGTGTGCAAAGGTTTTCATCAATAACTTATGTCCAACTGTTGGATTAGATACTAATTAAAAAAAATTAAATGTAAAATGTAATTGAAAGAACTAAAATCTTGGTTTTTGCTGAAAGTCCTATGTATAGCCCAAATCCTTTAATCATTTACTAACTAAAACAGAGGTGTAGTAGTAGCTAGACAATGTGACATTGTTGGTGAGCAGGATGCTCCCGTCAGAAAAGATGAAGAACTGTGTGTTTAGTCAGCAAACCATGAAGTATTGACTGGAACTGCCCAGACTGGAAAAGAAGTAGGTAAAAAGTAATTTCATCAGGGGGAGATCACAACCACTGACAGACTGACCACCTACGCAAAGGATACCACCTACTCAAAATGCAACAATGGAAGAGGTAGACAGAGTCTGGGCACTAATTTACATGAGAAGCGAGGGAAATAAAACCAATCGCCAGGAGAACAATTATGAATATGCATTAGTCAACTGAATATGCAATAATGTGTGTACAAATGTGGAAATTTGAGTGCTGTCTTGAGACAGGCACCCATTCGTGTGCATCAATGAAATAAACTTTGAAATACCTCTACTCTATGTGTTACTGACTTGCACACTAGGTAAAGAACCCAGATTTGGGACAACACAACTAGTATTAATGCATGTCATATTAATATATATATCCACATTTCATAAAGAAATGTTTTTCTTACAACATTTCTTATTCATCCTTACAGGCAAGCAACTAGCACCACTGTTTCTATCAAAATGGAAAACTGAAATGAGAAAGGCAGAATACTCTTCAGCTACAGGGACTCTGCAGTTGAGGGCGATGACTTCTCCTTAATTAAGCAAAACTTAGTAGCAAAGCAGAAGCAATGCAAAGCTAGATACCACTGTATCCCATTGCAACAAGACCTATTTACAAGTATTGTGAACTGAGGAAATACAGTTCTTAAAACACCTTTCAATTCTGTATATCTTTATACAGAATAAAGTATGTTTCACAAAACACCTGTAACATAACAAACCAGCATGATCAAAACAAACAGCAACTCTTTCTTCGGCATTCATGATTCTTTACCTTATTAGTCGTCTTAATTCCTATAAAGGTTTGCCCCAGTGGTACAGGTCGGAAACGGCCATCGAAATAGAACAGTCCAATGCAGGGATTGACGTGAAGAAATGTAGCGACATCGAGATAATTGGGTAATGTAGCTGAAAGGCCCAAAATCCTAATCATACTTTGTGTAGATTCAACCTGTTAAAAAAATAGAAAACCTGTAAATTATTCAAGTGTTATAAGCCAAGAAATCAAGCATAGAGTTTTAAAGACATCCCTTCTAAAGCAGTAATGTTAAAGAAGCATTTAATACTTTTACAAAAGGTGAACAATAGATGTGAGTTAGTGACTACCCTGCACTGAAGAAACCAGAGCACTCTGCAATTCCATGAAATCTTGCTTATTCACCTTTCTATTTTATTGTACTTTTGCCCTCCAAAAGGTTAGCAATCATTAACTGACATGGAGAAGCAACAGTGGTAAAATTGGCTTTGTTAAGAAGGGATAGTCCAATTTATAGGCAAAACTAGGACAGATAATTTGGTATCATTTCTTTCTCAGTCCAAATTTCTTCCTCACACCACAATTCTGAAAAGAACGAGTTATTCGTATCATTCCTCAGTGTTGCCTTATGCTTAAACCTTTCCACAACTCGTAGGCAATCTATTCTAGTTCATTACTATCTCCAGTTCTCCAGTATGTAGCAGTACTTCTGCAAAGCTGAAGATATATTTTTTTTAATGCCCCAAATGTTTGCATTACTTGCCTTACCATTCAATAACAGTCAGAAATAGTGTTTTACAATTAAATACTGTGTTCTATATAAAAGATTGCATACCATATGTATTTCCAGGTAATTTTCAAAAAGAATGAAACCAGTCAAAAGACTTAAATGAGGAAAGTATGCAGGAATTCTCCTATTTCCTTCTGTAGTATTAAGAAATGTGTAGGCTGGTTCACAACTGTCTAATAGCATAAGTACTTAGTAGCAAAGTTCCCTGTATTTTTCATCAAAATGTCTTTATACACTCTAACTGAAGTCCTATACAAGCTTCTCAACTTGTATGCATGAATGTCTAGTAAGGCTAGTAATTTGGCTAGGTCCTGTTCAAAACAATATGAGTTTTTGCTTAGAATACAGGTGTTCAAGGTAAAATGAAGGGAAGTGCCATGTAATTAAAAACAGATGAATTAATAGTTCTCAAAAAAGATGATTAAAGGATCTATGAAGAGCATTCTCCAGGAAGATAAAATACACCATACCATAAACACTCATCTGGTGAATAACAAGCACAATAAAATAATCATAGAATCACAGAATGGTTAGGGTTGGAAGGGACCTTAAAGATCATCTAGATCCACCCCCCCTGCCATGGGCAGGGACACCTTCCACTAGACCAGGTTGCTCAAAGCCTCATCCAGCCTGGCCTTGAACACTTCCAGGGATGGGCCATCCACAACATCTCTGGGCAACCTGTTCCAGTGCCTCACCACCCTCTCTGTGAAGAATTTCTTCCTGATATCTAATCTAAACCTCCCTGATTTCAATTTATACCCATTACCCCTGGTCCTGTCACTACAGGCTCTTGTAAAAAGTCCTCTCCCAGTACCCTTGTAGGCCCCCTTCAGATACTGGAAAGCTGCAAATAATAAAAATAATAAACCGAATAATAAAATAATAAACCGAATGCCAAAAGGAACCACCTTCCCAAATCCACAGCATCAAGGACACAAAGTAAAACACAGCGCTGCCTGGTAATGACCATGCCCCAGAGCAAAAATTTGGACACAGCCAACTAAATGACACAGAAAACTGGCTGATTGACCCTTTTTGCTCTTATACAAAGTGCAGCTTTGCCAAGGAAAGCCCACGTACAACAAAATCTTAGATGTAAACATAAATTTTGAGATGACTGGGACAAATGAGAGATTTCCATCTGCAGGGAACAAAAGCAGCATTCACCTTTAAGAGTACAAGGAAGCATTATTATTTTTTACACATATTTTTATAGCTGGATTATGTGATGACCTAAGGGTTACCAGCAACCTCAACCTCAGAGTTTTGAGGTGTTTTTTAATTTTTTTGGGGGAGGGGAGCAGGGTGGCAAGGTGAATGGGTGGTGTGGTGGTGATGCAGGTGTGAGCGTGTGGTTTTCTTTTTGTTTGTTGTTTTGGGGTTTTTTTAAGGTTTGGTTTTGGCTCCATCCTCTGGAACACCCCCTCCTCCTGCACTGACCTTGGTGTCTGCTTGGTTGTTTCTCACTTTTTTCCTCACTCCTCTCTCAAGTGCTGCACAGTGCTTTTACCCGTGTTAAACACGCTTTCGCAGAGGTGAACCGCCAGTACCCAGCATGGGGCAGGCCTGGCCTGGCCTCTCCTCACTGAAGCCACCCTGCAGCTCCCCCCTGCCAGGACCTGGGCACCGGTACCTGGCATAACAGTTTAATTTACTTCATGTTTATGCACTTTTTTCATTAAACCTGAAGCTGTAAGACCAGTAAACACTTGCTGATCTATTTATCCTGTCCTTTGTTCACAATCACCTGATAATAAGTAAAACAATCTGAAAGTGCAACTGAGCTCCAATCTGGAAAACATTATTTGATTTCGCTAAATTCAATAACAACTTTTTTCAAATCTCCTAAGTGCCTGAAAGCGCTATTTTGAAAATGTGATCGGTTCCACCTGAAGGTAGGAAAGCATTTCAAGTATTTAAACAATTAACAAGAACTCCGCTTAATAGCCATGGAAGTATGATTTTTTACAGCAATTACCCGTAAGCTGTTTGTTCAGAGTTTTCTTTCAAAATACAAACAACGCCTAGAGAACAGTTTCAGTTTACTGAGAATTGCCACTTCCAAAACCTTTGTAAAAAGCAGCCATTTAACTTCACTGATCTGGCAGTTGGCCCTGGCTGTTTGAAAACCTGGAATTACAACTCCACATGAAAAATGCAGCACAGCTAACACAAGTAATTAAAATTACTAATATGCATAGCCCATTTTTAACCCAAATATAGGTTTGCATGTTTTATATTATACTTTACAGACATTTGGGCGTATGTATGCAGTGCCTGCATAATTTTTTCAATTTATAAATCTAAAATTTACAAATAATTTAGGTAATTTTCTATTTATATCAAGCCACAAAAATTGAGTCAGAGTGCTGTAAGAAATCAGACAATAATGTTTTTTTCTCTTTAGTAACACTTTGTTAATCTTCATAATTAAGTAAAGACTACTAAGACTAAATCATTCATCAATATCTTAAACTTCTTTCAAGGCTACATAAAAAAATTATCATCTACTCTTATGTCCCCTAAGAAACACAAAATATCAATAATTAATATATATATGAAAATAATCAAGAGGTACTTTTATCCTAAAAGACAAAATGTATCACAGTACTCCTAATTATGTTATGCTCATGCAAATTCAAACTGTAAACTAAAACTCTATGTTTCTGCACTTCATCACATGCTTATACAGAATGAGTTTTGTTTATTCTTTTAATTATACATAGCAACACACAAACAGCAGTGACTAAAACTGTGCTAAACTTAGAAGTCAGAAAAACAAAATCACCTGAATATGCAACTAATACATGTGATTTAGTTTTTCATTTTCTCCGCGATTATTATTCAGTTGAAATAATTTATCTATTATTCAAGCACTATAAAGACTTCATTTTTCATAACCTTACCTAGAATTTTTAGAACAGAGTTCTACGCACACATTTTTCAACTATTTTTCTGACTTTCCCTTGAAGAGCAAGCATTAATATGTTTTGCCCTCAGATGCTTCTAAAGAAAAGTAAATTTTCAATGTGTGCAGATGCCCTATGTAAATACAGTCCATTGAAACATTAGTATTTTTCATGTGCTGGATCACTTATTATTTGGCCTTAGAAGTCCCAAACAGAGATTCTGCCTTTATATACCAAGACACTATGAACACATAGTCTTTTCCTAAAACTGCAGTAAAAATTACTGAAAAGACATTTTGGATGATCGAGGTTTCTGTTTATGTTCCCTATCACTGGCTGGTGGTATCTGGCAAAGCACATTTTCTTCCCTGCTGGCATACAATCTCAAACATTTTAATCTTTATATGTGTTTAACTATTTCAGTAAATTTATAAGCATCATTTGGAACTTACAAGGTTTCTCTGGAAAACTGAACTGTCACAGTATTTGCACATCATGTTCTTTGAAAGCTTTACTCTATTTTACTGATTTGATATTACACTGGAAGTAAGAAATAAAATTGCCATAACTGTATTTAACTGACATATCTAATTAGTATATCTAATTCAGAAGCATTCACGATGGCATGTGGAGAATTGACAGCATGTTCACCATGCACGTTCGCAGAATGTGATTATCGCACCATGAAATTCCATGTATACAGAAAAAATAAACACAAGATAGCTATCCAGTACTGATTTCCACACCCAAGCATCATCTGCGTTTACATTGTAAATTATAAAGGATCAGGTATGGGAAGTGCCTCTCTGGATTGTAAATTGATCGCAGCAGGATCATTTTCTTCCTAATAGGTTTTCAGATTTGCATATCATCTCATTACATTTCAGCTGCCACTCGAGAGCATACAGAGTATGCATAGAGATACTCTTATCTGACTTCTGAGGTTCTTCCTGAACTTTGTGATCTTGGCAGTCTTCCCATTTCCATGTATTAAAATATCACATACACTGAATGAATTACAATCACTCTGGAAACCATATCCCCGACTGTTCAACTCGAGCACAGAATTAAGTGAATCAGACAAGTTTACATATTCTAATCTTTGAAGAATTGTCCACTGGTTAGAAATTAATCTGATATTCCAATGACCCAGGATCACTTCAACACACCCTCTACAGTCAGTCTGCATGCCCTTCAACATATACTAAAGAGAAGATACACAGGTTTCTGAGTTTTTAGTCTAGATGTGCAAGAAGATGAATTCTTAACTGAGGTTCCTGAGCTCCCTGCTCAGCAGTGGTAAGAATGAAGTACTGCATAACCTGAGAATGCCTCTATGTCTCAGCCTCTCACAAAATCTGTTTTCCCTATTATTCAAACAAAAAGGAGGAAAAAGAAAAAGGACGAATTTTAAATAAGAATTAAAGGTGCTTCAAAAAAACTAAGAAGGAAGCTTGTTACAATATTTCACCAGTATTTACTTGTTTATTGAT